AAGATATAATAAAATATTTACAAAAATGTGAGGGGTGTACTCACTTCTGTGAGATACTGTGTGTGTGTGTGTATATATATATATATATATATATATATATATAAAGCTTTAAATAGGATTTTTATACCATATCAAAATTCTTGATGCACTGAAATTTCATAATTTTTGTTACCAATTTCAATATCAATAAAAAATAATACTAGCCTAAGTAAAAATAAGCTTACTGAAGACAAGTAAACAGTCACAAATTAGGCTACAACAGAACAAAGATCATAAAAAAGGGCCTACTTGAAAAACGTAAAGCACTGAATAATAAATATATTGTATAAAGAAAATGTGCAAATAGACTGAATAGTCTTCACTGTATAAATTCAGTATACATTCATTATTTATTTTACAAAAGTGATTCAGTGAAGGACAGCAAGTAATTTTCTTTCTGATGTTTGATTTACATTATCAACACAAATGGCAACAGCAGCTATATTAGGCTGCATTATAGTTCACCCAAAAATTAAAATTCTGTTGATGTTCTAAACCTGTATGAGATTCCTTCATGCTGTTGAACACAAAACGATCATTCTTCAAAATATCTTCTTTTATGTTGAGGAGGAAAATGAAATTCATAGAGGTTTAGAACAATTTGAGGGTAAGTACAGTGGTGTGAAAAAGTGTTGGCCCCCTTCCTGATTTCTTATTTTTTTGCATGTTTGTCACACTTTAATATTATAATTTACTGTTTCTGTAAAGTGATTAAAATAAGGCCAATATTATTGATAATGAGAAATAAAGTCACATTGTCACATACTATATAAATAGTCAAATTGTGAGCTAAAAATAAAACCAAGAATTACGAGAAATAAAGTCACAATTACCCTTTTTTCACTTTAAAAACAGGCTTTCAATAGTTCCTGCCCTTGTAAATGGACTCAAACTTATTTTGTGATTTTATTATTGTGGATCTCATTCTCAGTTCACTATTCATTTAGAGGCAAAAATGGGCTCTTATGAACTGCTAACATGGATGTGGAGAGCTCTGTATATTCTGGTTAACTCTGCTGTGTTTTTGAATTTTGCTCATTTGTTTTACTCCGGTTTTTCTGATTGGTGAAGCTTGATTTATGTTGAATGACTTAGATATCCCTCCCACTGTTTGCTTTGGTTCATTATTGCACTTTCTTCAGCAATTCTGCAAGTGGACCTTACACCAGTCTTATGGTGTGTTCACACCAAAAGCGAAGTGAATATTTGCATCGCGTTACTTGCTCTAGATTACTCGCAGGATGTTTTTCGCGTCACATAAGCTCTTTGCTAATTGGCTTTCATGACAACGCATCATGCATATTTTCCACAAGCAGTTGAAATTTTTCCACTTGCACCGAAGACACGATTGAGGCGAATATCGTGAATATCGCAAATATCGAATTCAGTTCTATTCGCATCTTTGCATGCAATCTACTCATTCAAATACTTAAATTCGCTTTTGGTGTGCACACACCATTAAGATTCTTTTACGTCACAGTTTGTGTAATATTTTCTTTGCTGAGAGAATAAACTGAGATCTTGTGAATTTTCTCTGCAAAGCCGAAGATTTGCTCAGGCGTGCGTGGTTGCCAGCCCTTCGTTTTAAAATTGTACCTGTTCACAGAAGTGGGAGGAACATAATGTCAGGTCCAGCTGGTCTCACTGTATCCAGCAGGACGTCCACACTGCAGCCAACTCTTTTTCATGTCATCCTCCTCCTCTTCACACCCTCGGCACACCTCCACAAAAAGCAGATTCATGGCCAATTCGTGTCTTAGAAAATATGCTATTTTGGGACCATGTGTGAGCTGTTGTTTCAAAGAGACTGAATCATTTTTTAGACAGCAGTATCTTGTTTCAGAAGAAGTGCTGATTGTTCAACTAGTCAGAGATCTGAGGAAGGAAATGTGTCCATCTGGAAGCACAGAGGTCTCCTGCTAATAGCACAGTCATTTCCTTTTACAAAGCTTTCCTGATTAGGAAAGGCTCTCATTATAACTCGTCTTTGTTCCTAGACGGATGCATTTCAGATTGTTGTAAAGTTAATGGTTATTTGTTTAAGCTAAAAAAGGTTAGAAATTTGTATATAGAAGTTCTTTTAATGGCTTTCTAACCACAAATGCCACTTTGTAACCTCATTAAAAGTAAACATTCAGCTGAGAACAAAGAGACAGAACAAATCTTGTGGGAATAAATCATTTGCATTTACAGAAGAAAATAAAGCAGATGTCAAGAAAAGAATGTAAAGAAAGATGTAAAAAAAATGTCATCATTTACTTACCCTCGTCATTTCATACCGAATTAGTGGTCTTCTGCTGTTAAACAAAAAATAACACCATAAGTGATCCACATGTGCGCTATATTTCAAGTCTTCTGGTGCCTCAAAATAGCATCAGAACATACTTGCTAAATGAAACACCAGCCAGCAAGGTGTCTTTGACTTAAAAATACAAATTTAACAAAAAGACATTCAAAAACACAAGATTGAATTCATTTCAGACGCCCACACTTATTAGTGTGGCAGAAGGCAGAGAGAAGTGTATATCATTCCCAGGTGTTTCCTAACCCGTGTTGTGGTTGTTGCAGAGTTGCTGTGAGGGGGGTGACGGCTGTAACACTGGACCCCTGGAGCAGGACAGTATGACGTCACAGACCAGCAGCCCCAGATCCTCCAGAGATTGACCCAGGATGGAGCTGAAGGTGTGGGTCGATGGAGTTCAGCGCGTGGTCTGTGGGGTCACAGAGGCCACCACCTGCCAGGAAGTGGTCATCGCTCTGGCTCAAGCAATTGGTAGGTAGTGTCAATTTGAAGTTGCTCTTTTAAAGGTGCTGTATGTAAGTTTTTGACTCCACTAAAGCATAAAAATACAATAATATATTTGCAGATATTTAAGAAACATGCCAAGTTAACACTTGTTTATCTGAAAAACAATGCTAGTCAGTTATTCTCCTTTGAAAATGTGCGTTCCGGGCCGGAATGTCGATCTGTTTTGGATTGTGAAACCCGCCCAGTTTACCCAATTGTATTTCGGCACCCCGGGTTGCCAGTTGGCGGAAAACACAGCGTATTTCATTTCATTCATCGTCAAGTGCGCTCGTTCCTGTTGGTGTCGTCAATCTGGCAACCTGCGTGTGCGTCAAGTCTGAGGAGGAGGGGCCGGGGGAAAAAAAACCCTCCAATATTTTGAATTTGGACTGCAATACCTAGTTCAACCACTCGGTGTCAATCCTACATACAGCACCTTTAAAGCAGTCTTTCATATTAAAAAAGAAATTGTATGGAAAAGTGTTGGCGAAGCTACTTTGAAACTGTAGTTTGTCAAGCTACAAAAATATTCACAAGGAATAGTTAAACTAAGAATGAAAACTCATTAATCACTCACCCTCATGTCGTTCAAAACTTGTATGACTTCAAGGAATAGTTCACCCAAAAATTTAAATGACCCTATGATTTACTCACCCTCAAGCGATCCTAGGTGTATAGGACTTTGTTCTTTCAGACGAATACAGTGCGCTTTTCCCAGATTTACAATGGCAGTGAATGGGGTTTAAGATTTTGAAATCCAAAAAACTGCGTCCATCCATCATAAAAAGTACTTAGCATGGCTCCGGGGGGGTAATAAAGGCCTTCTGATAGTGAATCGATGCATTTGTGAAAGAAAAATATCTATATTTACAACTTTATAATCCACAATCTCTAGCTTTTGCTAACTTTCGTGGCGTTCCAGCGGATGACGTAGGCGTAGTATAAGCTCCGGTGAGAATCTGCTAGTTTACAGCAAAGGAAAGCCAGTCTCCTCTTGGCTTATATATCGAAATCTTCCGATATTTTTCTTTACAGTTTTGTACTTCTAAGTCGTGACCGGTGTTTTGTTTTGCTCTCTCCTCTGCACTTGTGTGTTCGTCACTTCTCACCTGCGCTTACGCTACGCTACGTCCTACATCATCCGCTGGAACGCCACTCTCTCGTGAACATGCATGCGACAGTTATCGGACGCTAGAGATTATATTTTTCTTACACAAACACATCGATTCACTTCAGAAGGCCTTTAGGGGTTGTAAACTGAGAAACCAAAATCCCCTTGATCTTTTGACATATAAGAGGTGCTGTTCTATTAAAAACAAAATAATTGTACTATTAAAAACATCCTGTAAGTTTCAGAACTGAAAACTTTCTTGTTAGTCTAAAAACAGCTTATATTAAAGCCACTCTGCCAAAACAACAGCTTGTGGAATGTACTACTCTATGATGTAAAACTGAGGTGGCTAAACAACCACCTCCGCAGAAGAAGATCAACGCCTGCCTGTACATCGCTGCCTCTTTAGCCCCACTCACGGATTCGTGCACGTAGTGTAAATAAAGATGGGGCGAACGCAAATCTATGCAGAAACCAAACGATAAAGATCTTTATCGTTTGGTTTCCGTGCAGTGGAAAGTTGTGGAAAAACAGTCTTTGCATTTCCTTCCTTCTGATCTGAACATTAGGAACATTTTTTATTATTTTGAATGAAGATCCAGACCACGTCAGAAAGAACTTGGTCCTTTGTTCACTTCATTTTACCACGGATTCGTTTACAAACTAGGCACAATCCGATGCAGGATTTTCAGAAAGATTGAAAATAAAAGACAATGCTGTGCCGACTATATTGGATCCGACACTGATGAAACAAGTGTGAGTAACTGTTTTCATTACATGATTACTATTGCTTTGTCTGTTATTACAAATTGTTTGATATGTACTGAGTATTTATGCATTTTTAACCTAAATCGCGGCATACACAATCATATCAGTGGGCATTTACTTCCGAATCTACAATCCGCCGCACCTCTTCAAACGGAGCATTCTGAGGAGCGGGGTTAAAAACAGGACAGAAAATAGCCTATTACTTCTGAATTGTGTTTTATGATGTAAAAATCTTGATAACATTATAAGTGGACCTCAGAGAACGGTACAAAATAAAAAACAAATGAAATGAGTACTACTCAAATGAGTATGTAATTCAATTAAATGAATCGTCTGAACAAACTTATTCATCAAAATGATTTAGACATCCCAACACACAAGGAGTAACACAATATGACACAAAAAACACTGATAAACAATTCTGTCATGCTACTGCTATCTTTTAAAAAATTGCTCTTTACTGGAAAAGAACTTCTACTACCAAAAAGCTGTGCTTCTATTTTTGGTTGGTTACTCCCCAGCAGTGGCATGGAAGACTTAAATCATGGAAGCTATAGTTGCTAACACAGATGCCATACATTTTGAGTAATGCTGAAACCATCTGGCATTGAGGTTGATTGAGTAATCATCATCCATTTCATAATGAAAAAGAAGATTAAGTATCGGAGAGTTTGTTTTGGCTTTCCAACAGCTTGAGACTAGTTTAACAACTTGTCTAAAGACATCAGGCATATTTTAAGGAATTTAAAGGAGAGGGCGCAAATAATCTACAAAGCTGATTTCAGTTAATTACATCACCAGTGGAACCCAAAGCACTTTGTTTTTGATGCAAACCTGTCTTCGTTGACGTCATCGTTTGATTCTATTTTCAGCTGCACTCAGACTGGTACAATCTAAGGGCCCCCTCTTGTATTAGTGAGAAACGCACTGGCGCAACCAAAGTGCCCGCTGACATGGAAAATCTGACTCATTCTACTGAAAGAAAAAACTCTTAAGAACACCTCAATCCTCTTTGACAGTTTTGAAAGTAATTTGTATGTTTTTACTGGGGGAAGAAAGTATTAAAAAAAACATTGCTCGCTGTTTCAAATGTGTATCTTTAGATGAAGTGCACTAATTTTATGAAGAAGAATTATTCTGTCATTTTGCCCTTAAGCAAATTATATGGTAGTGGAGAAGAACAGGAAATGATGTGCGGAAGAGGGTGGAATGGGATTGGGAAAACATCCCTAATATATTTGTGTATTCACATAACGATATAAGTCAAATCATAACAGATTTAAACAAGAATTACAGTGTTTTTTTTCCCATTTAAAAAGGTTTTACAGAAATAAAGTAATACTACTTTGGCAAAGTGTTTATAATGATGTACACTAACATAAGATTGTAAATCATACTGTTTTCATTTACAAATTGTTGCTTTAGCATGATGCTAAGGTCAATTTTGCAACATATTAGTCAACAAAAATTTGTTGAGAGCACCTAACAATTAATTCACCCCAAAATTAAAAATTCTGTCATTAATTATGCATCCTCATGTTGTTCCAAACCCGTAAGACCTTTGTTCATCTTCGGAACACAAATGAAGATGTTTTTGATGGAATCCGAGAGCTTTTTGACCCTTCATAGACAGAAACGCAACTACCACATTCAAGACCCAGAAAGGTAGTAAGGACAACGTTAAAATAGTCCATGTGACATCAGTGGTTTAACCGTTATTTTATGAAATTACAAGAAAACCTTTTGTGTGCAAAGAAAATAAAAATAACGACTTTATTCAACAATTTATTCCGTGTCAGTCTTCGACGTGCGTTCACGAGAGTATCACGACGGATGCGTGTGGTGCTGCTGACGCAAGAGCCGGCGTTCTGATGTAGAACGTCCATCTCTCTTCGTTCATCATCTGTATATTCTGGTTCAAATAAGTAAGGCTGGGCAAAAAATTGCAAGTCATTCTCTCGAAATCTTAAGACATGTTTACTTCAAACATGTTTTATGTACAGTGTGCGTCTTCTGCTTGTAAACAAGGCACAGCGCATCCAGTTTCTACATCAGAACGCCAGAAAGACTGACATGGAAGAGAAGAAATTGTTGAATAAAGTTATTATTTTTGTTTTCTTTGTGAAATTTCTTGGTGAACTATCCCTTTAATATCTATGGCTTGTTGGTAGTCTTGTTCAGTACTGTAATCATTGTTCTTTTTTATAGGTCGCACAGGACGGTATACATTGATTGAAAAATGGAGGGACACCGAGCGACATCTCGTTCCTCACGAGAGTCCGGTGGCCTCTCTGAACACTTGGGGGCAGTATGCCGGTGACGTGCAGTTTATCCTATACCGTACTGGTCCGTCTCTCAATGAGTACCCCTCAACCGAAGGTCTGAATCCTCGGGGCCCAGAGCGTGGCTTGCATCGGCAGAGCCTTCCGTTGATGGCCAAGCTCCGAGCTCCGGGTGACCGTTCCCTCCGTCGGCGCGAGCCACGGCGCAAATCTCTGACCTTCATCGGTGTGCCCCGCAGTCTGAGGGACATCCTTAGTGGAGGCAGGCTCAGTGACGGTAGTGCCAAACAACGAGAGGTTTTAGTGAGAAGCGCTCACAATTCACCATCAATGTCCCCTCGGTTATCAGGCCACCGCGTGGAGGATATTACCCAACTGGTGAGACTGCAGAGGGAGACACTTTTGGTTCTAGACAGCAGGATAGAGGCGTACGAGGCAGAGCTTCGAATGTTGACTGAGAAAAGAGTTGGACTAGAGGACGACGAACTGTATGTGAAGATGACAGAGGAAGTTTCAAGGTTGGAAAAGCAGGTGCGAAGGAACAAGGTGGAGATTGAGGAAGAGGAATTCTGGGCAACCGAGCTCGAGATCGAGCGGGAGAGCGAGAGGCAGCTGCAGGAGCACCTCCAGGAGTTGAGCAGTCGGTTGCGCGGCTGTGCGGCGGATCTGGAACAGCGGCTGATGTCTCTGCAGGGTGTAGAGGCAGGCATAGATGCTCAAAAGCAACATAAGGAGATCAGAGAGAGCCAGCAGGCCAGTGAGGGGGAAGTGAAGGCTAGACTTCAGAGAGTGAAAGCAGAACTCAAGGCTCAAGCTCAACACACGGCCCAGCTTGAAAACAGCTCAAGAGCAGTGGAGCGTTCACTGACTGAGTCATGCAAGAGACTGCAGGTACGTCAAGTCTCACAAACAAAAACTTGAGTAATCCATATGAAATTTTGAAATTGAAGACTGCAGTGGTAATCACTGGTCTTGTGCCAGAGATTATTATTAAAAAGATAAGCATTGCTTTTCACCAGTATATGTTGTGTTGGCTGCAAAGAAGTCTACAATACCTGGATAAAACTATTAACTATAGCTGCGTTCCACTCCACTTTTAGACACGCACTCACGAACTTCCCTAACCACTTCCCCTTGGGGGAATCCCCACTGCCATTTTGAAGTGCATTCCACTTCGCGAAGTGGATGAGGGAAGTTTATATGGACAGACCCTCGACCCCTCGATTTTGACCGAGGGAGCGAGTCTGCTTCATATGCACACTTCAGGCCGCTCCATAGACCACAATGCAACATGATTGTGACGTCATTGCAGATCTTATCCCCACCCCAAACAACTCTATAATATATAAATGATGTTTTATATATTTATAACAGTCCAAGCATACCTTTATACTGTACATATAGAATGCTGTACCAAACAAATTTGTAAGGGGAAAAATGTAAACAAAAGGGCTTAGGAAGTTCCAGTTCAGCCCATTGCAAGGGTTCCGCCTGTAGTGGGCACCCATGCAACGTAATCAATGACGTACATTCGAGTAAACAACACGGAGGGAAGTTTGTGAGTGAAGGGCATAAAAAATGAACTGGAACGCAGCCTGTTTCTGTCTATTTCAGTACCAGTTGTTTGATCCCCCATTAGTACCTAGAAGTAAAGGCTAACATACACTACAAAAAAGTTTGCTCTAATTTGCAGTCTGGATGAGTTGACACTATTTGCCGAAAGCTGACAAATGTCAGAGCCATTCTTCAGATTTTGGCCAGTTGGAGTTGACTGATTTCTCGCAGTGATCAATAGCTTCAGACCATGATTCCATCAAGCTGAAGGATATCAAACACTTTTGATATTTTAAGCTGATTTTTTAAATACTTATCATTTGTCATCATTTGGTACGGTGTGATCTTTATTTAGTTTTTTTTGTGTATGATGTCCATTTTTTCTTCTGTAATCATTTACAGAGTTGGCAAGTGAATGATGCCTAGTGTTTCAAATCTATTCAGATTTTAAAGGGGTCCCATTATGCTCTTTTACAAAGTCTTGATTTTGTTTTGAGGGTGTACTAGAACAGGCTCTCATACTAGGTTGTTCGAAAAACACATTATTTTTCACATATTTTACATTATCTCAGTCTGTCATGAATGGCTCGAATAGTTCCTGTATCAAATGAAGGCCCTCCTTCTGAAATACGAAATGTGCTGTGATTGGTCAGCTGGGCCAGTGTGTGCTGTGATTGGCTGCACTCGGCGCCTGGTCGGGAAATATCATGCCCCCTTACCATAGCCATAAGGTAAAGCCGCAGTGTAAATATTGCATCAAAATCAAATCAATTTGAGCCCGATTTAAACCCGGATGATTGTAACCACTCTAAGTTCGTCTGCCTTGGGAAAGCTAGCGTGTCTCCGACATAGTGATAACACTCGTTGCCTTCTCTAGTGCAGCTCAACCAGGTTTCGTCCCATTCGTCGAGCTTTGTGATATCACAAATCCCGGAAAATATGCGTTGTAGTCCAAACGAGTCGTTCGTTGTAGTTTTTGAAAAGTGATTTAAATAAAATATCTCCTTTTGAAGTGTACTTTGTAACTTTGCAGATCTTTTTTATGCTCAAACAGCAACATTACAGACTAACTAAAGTTGAAAAAGTGGAAACGCATAATAGGACCCCTTTAAAAAGTCATGTAGTATGTTTCGGTCTTAAGTTTGACGTCATGACATGTTGACAGTGGTGATTAGCTGATGGCACCACAAGAATCAATGTGCAAACATTAGTCCTTCTCCTTCATTAGCGACTAGCCTTAGCTGTGATTTCAAAGGCAGCAGGGAGCATTTCCATTTCACGCTTTTAAGAGCCATCCAAAAATATCTGCATCTACCAGCAGGGACTAACTCGACCAGTCTAAAAAGCCAAAACTTGACTCTGTGGTTTCCTCCACAAGGCTTCTTAAGTAGTTAAACCAGCAAAATGTTGATGCAGGTTGACTAGCCTCAACAAATGGCAAATGAACAACATAGCTGGTTGGAAGTACACTTAACTAAAGTTCCAAACCAGCACTCACTAACAAAGAAATTCATGCTGGTCTTAGCTGCTCTTTTCAGAAGAGTTCAGTCTAAAACATTTCTCACTTCTTGCGATTGTTGTAAATGCAAAAATGACACATCTGTTTAGAATCGTGAGCTGATTTTGTGGGAGTACATTGGAACATTGTTACTGTTTATAGCCAGTTGTTACTGCATTGCTGCAGGCTGAGTGCCAGTTGCAATACTACACAAACATTTCATTAGCACCTTCTCCACCCTCTTTCCACCAGGAGAGTCAGTATGAACTGGAGCAGCTTACCAAAGAGTTGAGGCAGGTAAACCTACAGCAGTTCATACAACAAACAGGCACCAAAGTCACTGTTCTGCCCGTGGAGCCTGGCGATGATGACTCCAGCAACACAACTGATTATAAAGGTATTATTTTTACTGACAATATATCTAAAGCCCCAGGGATATGCTCCATACAGTGTGGATTCTGTTAGGACTCTGTTGGCGTGAATGAAAAAAATGTTGATGCAGGTTGACTAGCCTCAACAAATGGCAAATGGTGAACAACATGGCTGGTTGGAAGTACACTTAACTAAAGTTCCAAACCAGCACTCACTAACAAAGAAATTCATGCTGGTCTTAGCTGCTCTTTTCAGAAGAGTTCAGTCTAAAACATTTCTCACTTCTTGCGATTGTTGTAAATGCAAAAATTACACATCTGTTTAGAATCGTGAGCTGATTTTGTGGGAGTACATTGGAACATTGTTACTGTTTATAGCCAGTTGTTACTGCATTGCTGCAGGCTGAGTGCCAGTTGCAATACTACACAAACATTTCATTAGCACCTTCTCCACCCTCTTTCCACCAGGAGAGTCAGTATGAACTGGAGCAGCTTACCAAAGAGTTGAGGCAGGTAAACCTACAGCAGTTCATACAACAAACAGGCACCAAAGTCACTGTTCTGCCCGTGGAGCCTGGCGATGATGACTCCAGCAACACAACTGATTATAAAGGTATTATTTTTACTGACAATATATCTAAAGCCCCAGGGATATGCTCCATACAGTGTGGATTCTGTTAGGACTCTGTTGGCGTGAATGAAAATAAGACCTCAACCATAATGAGTAATAAGTCCATTTTACAAGTGTCATTAATGACCAGCGCCAGACCACATCTGCTTTTAATTTAGTGCAGTGCCAAGTAAGTTTTCACTTACACATCTAGCAAAAAACTGCAGGCCCATGTAGGACAGAGTTAAAAGCTTTTGCGTGCTCCTGCTTCATCAGTGCCGTGACAGATTACCGTTGCAATGATTGACTCAGCGGTCTTGCCTCTGTCATTTACTCTGTCGAGTACAAAAATCTGTTATTTCTTTCTGACTTTATTGACGTCAAGCCTGGATGAAAAATAACATTGCCGTTGCAAGCCTTCTGTTTGTAGATGTCACTGACTTCAAAGTGCTTTTCCTGTTATTGTTTATATTACTAATCCAAAGTGCCACCTTGTGGTTAGAGTTGGTATTGTACGTGTTATTGGCCAAACAGTTTACAATATCCAAAGGCTTGGCTACTTGGTTAATTAAAAAGGCTAGTTTGAATATTAGCGTACTGCCTACTGAATACAGTCTGAATCTGATCAAATAATGAGTCAAAATCACAGATGGTATTATTTCCAGCTCATTCGTCACACTAGAAATAAGTAAACTGCACTGCATTGTGGATACAGCATTGTGCTCGGTTGTATTTGCATATTCTACACTCTAAAAAATGCTGGGTTAAATACAACCCAGTGCTGGGTAAAATAGAGACAAACCCAGCAATTGGGCTGTTTTGACCCAGCGGTTGGGTTAAATGTTTAACCCAACCTTCTGGGTAGTAACCCAACCGCTGGGTCAAAACAACCCAGTTGCTGGGTTTGTCCCTATTTTACCCAGCACTGGGTTGTATTTAACCCAGCATTTTCTAGAGTGTATGCATTCAGAAAATTGGCATTACATGCATTGCATCCATACTATATACCACAGGAATAGTAGTATGGTGGTATGATATTCCAAACAAGCAACTGTTATTGGAATTAAGCAAAGATCTATGGAAATATTTGGTCAAGACTACACTCATTTTGTTTGTATTCTTAAGTTCTTCCTAGCATATATAGTTAAAATGAGCTTTACAATCCCTGTAAGCAGAATGAGATATTAGACAAAGTTCTTTAATTAAATTGTTTTCTTTCATTTCCCAGACTTTGCTGCATTAACTGGCTCATTGAAACGACCGGGTTTATCTCATCCAGTGGTTGGCAGCATCCATGGACTCCATAGTCCAATCTCCTCAGGTTTAAATCCTGAGGGCATCTATGTCTAAGGACCACTTGGTAGTATTTCAAATTTTTTTTTTTTTTTTTAAATGAATTAATTTTCTAATTATTTCTAATTAATTTAGTAAATATTATTTAAAATGAAAATAAATCCTCTCCATATACAGTATGTTTGAGACTGAATACATTTTATTTGATGCTACTTCAAGCAAAACCGACAGCCGATTTGCTCAGCATGAAGGAGAACTTTCAGTTTTCAGTTCCCTATCATAATACTTGATCTTGATCACGAAGAGCTGCATACCATTTCAAATACAAACCATAAGTATGTTGATTTTCATATGTATAGTATCATTGTAGTGTCTAATATTAGAAAGTGATATCTGTAACCTTGTCACATAAAAAAAAACTAGTAGATGAAGGATGAATTACTTTGGAAGCATAAATATATTTTTGTATTCTTATTTTAGCCACATTTGTATGAATGTGCAACATTCACATTTGTGTTTACTTTTAGTGGAGATCAATCTGATCCGTAATAGTTTTTAAAAAAAAAATTTTTTATACATTTCATACCATGGTTGATTTATCAATTTGTGTAAGTGTTTTACTGTTGAGCCAAAGACAATCACTTATTTTAGTTGCAATATGTTACTGCATGACTGCAAAATATTGTACTCCTCGCTTTAATTTTGCCAATGTCATTATTGTTGAAATATGCATAAATGTAACTGATACTGCTTGAAAATGTACTTTTACTCTTAAAGGAATAGCTCACCCAAAATGAAAATGTTCACTCATATTCGAAACATTATGACTTGGGAGATATTAAAAAAAAAAAATGTTTTAAAGGAATTTTCATTTTGGGTGAACTATATCTTTAATATTATATATTTGTTATATATAATTTGTTGAAATCACAGCTGTTTAGCTGAAAGTAGTGCCTTTCTGAAATTCAACCCAAGCCATGTTAGGATCAACTTTAACGATGGTGCAAGCATGCTGACTCTGTGAATTCGATTATATAAAATATATTATGACGTTTTATGCTCGGACTTTGCTCATATGGTGTCTTCTAAATATGGCTGCATTTAATTTCAGTAGATTTTGGGGGTATTTAACCTTGTTTTTAATGTTTTCCTACAGTCAAGCATGTACTATAATTTGAAACAAATGTAAACATAGAAAAGCTTCATACAAACCCCTAAAAAAATCTATATATAGTACTGTGAATTACTATTAAACCCTAATCACCCCATATGGATGCTTATTTTACAACATAAACCTTTTGAATAAAATATGCAAAGTCAAGTGTAACAGCAAGAGAATAGAATTGGCACCTGATTAAAAGAAAGGTAAGCCACACACGTGTGTCCAGCTTAATGCTACTAACTCATGTTGAGAAGGCCACCGTCCCACAGTATGTGGGGTTTAACTACAGCCAGTATGGGGCTGCAAGGAGCTCCAGCCAGACAAAACGCCTCGTCCACATCCAGACCCCATTCCCGAAGAGTTTTCAGGGCAGATGCACAGACATTTCTAGAGCCCCACGACGTTAAGACACAGGTACAGAGAGGGCTGTTCTCTTGCCCAAACCTCCTTCTCATCTGACCGATCAGAACGGCAAACTCCTTCATGCAGATCTGGTAACATAAGACTAGATTAATATGACTAATGAAGCTTAAAAAAACAGTACTAGACCAAAAAAAAAAAAAGAAAAAGATTGTTGCGTAAATACAAATATTTCATAATTTACCTTTGCTGTTTTGATGGTCTCTATTTGGGTTTCACTGAATCCAAAAGATTGTTGCGTAAATACAAATATTTCATAATTTACCTTTGCTGTTTTGATGGTCTCTATTTGGGTTTCACTGAATCCAAACTCTGAAAGACCATCAAGTGAATCCTCAGAGAAACCGATAACGTCACCAGAGAAAATGACCTTTAGCTGATTGAGGACATGATCATCAGCCTGATCGTACAGCAAAGCAGCTGGAATTCCTAAACTCAACAAAATGTGCAAACATAAACTAATGTGTATTAATGCAAATATATATATTTTTTTAAATCATGCATTAAAAAAATATTTTAAAACGACTCGTTAAATGTTCATGAAGTGATCTACCTGTATGCAGAGCTTCATAGACATCATCCCTTTCAGTAGAGAGGAACAGCTTAACTTTGTTTGACTGAAGAGTATTTATGAGTTCTTCCTTTTTGCAAAAGAAAAATTTGCCAATTTCTAGACCTAATGATAGAAAAAAAACAATGCAAAATAAGCACATGTAAAAAAAACACAAAAAATGCACATAAGCATATCATGCTTAATAAGAATTGCATAAAAACGGAGTATACAAAAAAAACACATTTTTAAGCATTTAAGAAAAAAATATCCCATGTTTGTTTATTATTATTGTGAGACAACTTAAATATTTTTTGATAAATTATTGTCCAACAAGTAACATAAAAATATGATTTTTAAGCACATTAAATATATCACCTGCCATAAAATTGTGATTCCAATCTGTCAAAACCTTTCATATTTTATAGCTTGTTTTTTTCATATAACGTTTCATAAAAAAAAAAAAGAAATACTAAGCATTTAAAAGAAAAATTAGGAGCACCTTTGACCACTTGGAGAGAGAAAAAAAAAATTTTTTGTCCCTATTCTATATCTATGCAAGTGCTGTATTAAAATAGCCTTACCAAAATGAACTTACCATAATGCTTTACACTCTCATCCATCTTCATTTTGATTTCTTCTGAACACTCCTTTGAAATGAGGATCACTTAAAAAAGTAAACAGTCGGA